CTGAAAGAAAGCTTGAAAACGGCTTGAAAATTCAGAATAAAACGGCACCGTTTGGCACCATTATGATCATTTATGAATCGCGTCCCGATGTTACCATTGAGGCCGCCATGCTTGCCTTTAAAGCCAATAATAAAATTTTGCTCAAAGGCGGAAAGGAAGCTGTAAACAGCAACAAGGTATTGGTTGATTGCTGGCATGAGGCCTTGGCCGAAAATGGGCTGGAAAAAGATTGGATTCAGTTCTTGCAAATGAACCGCCAGGAAACTCAGGAGTTTTTGAAAAACCCCGGGCAAAAACTGGATTTAATCGTACCCCGTGGCGGAGAGCGCTTGATCAATTTTGTTAAAGAACATGCCGAGTGCGCGGTGCTGGTAAGTGGTCGCGGCAACAATTTCGCTTACATAGCGGAAGATGCCGACCGCGAACAAGCCAAAAAAGTAATTCTCAACGCCAAGACTCACAAAATTTCAGCGTGCAACGCACTTGACAAAATTCTGATCAATCGCAAGCGCGAGGATTATGATGACTTGGTAAAAGATCTGGCCTCTACCCTTAGTGAAAATAAGGTGGATATTCTGGTGGACGACAAGGTGAAAGACCTCTTGTCTGATGCACCATTGGTAGATCAGGAAGAAGTATGGTATGAAGAGTTTCTGGCCATGAAAGCGGTAATTGGCGCGGTAGATTCTGACGAGGAGGCCATTGAGCTTATTAACAATTATTCAGGCGGACACTCAGCTACCATTCTTACCAAAAACGAAGAAACTGCCGCGGAGTTTATGGAGCAAATTGACAGTGCGGCCGTTTATCACAACGCCTCTACGCGCTTTACCGATGGCGGTCAAATGGGCGTTGGCGCAGAGTTAGCCATCAGCACAGATAAGCTACACCACCGCGGCCCACTGGGCTTAAAGCAGTTGGTTACCAATAAATATTACGTGTACGGCAGCGGCCAGGTAAGGGTATAAACCCCGGCCGATAGTACCAGATTAAAGCCCTTCGGCATTGGCAGAGGGGCTTTTTTATTTCTTCACGGCACGCTGCAAATCTTTAAAAAGCTGGCGGTTTTCCTCCTCATCGCTCAGGTTAAAATAAACTTCGTATGCATCGGTTTTGAGGTATATGAAGTCCTTGTTCTGGTTTTTCACAATTCGTACGGTTTCCAAATCGCTTTCGCGGATGAAATCGCCCTTTTTCACCCAGCCCAGGGAAAGGCCTCCGGTTCCGCGCAGTTCGGGCAAGTCCTGTAAAAGCGCTACCGAATCAATATCACTTAAGCTTACCTCAAAGGCACCGGCCCCGTCAACATCGAGTTTACGTTCCGTTAAGGTAGCCGTATTTCCGCCAAAAGCGCGACTCAAAAAGAAAAAAGAGGGGCTTAGCACCAATAGGAGTAAAAGTACTTTCTTCCAGTTTTTCATCTAATTTTTTGGCAAAGGTAAAGCCTGCTTCTTCATTACTTGTTAATAAACACTTGTTTTAAAGCGCTCAATATTTGTGCTGAAAAGGCTGGTGCAATATTTTTGATGTAAAGCAATTACCTTGAAGCAGTATCATGATTTAATGCGCCATATTCTGGAAAATGGCACTCAGAAAGGCGACCGAACCGGAACCGGAACACTTTCAGTGTTTGGCTACCAAATGCGATTTAATCTGCAGGAAGGCTTCCCTCTAGTGACTACCAAAAAGGTACACCTGAAGTCTATCATACATGAGTTGCTTTGGTTTTTGCGGGGCGACACCAACATTCGCTACCTGGTAAAAAACGGGGTAAACATCTGGAATGAATGGCCGTATCAAAACTTCCTGAATGAAACCGGCCGTGCGGAAAGCATACCCAAGTATAGCGAAGCCTGGAAGAAAATGCTTCACGACTTCAAAGAATCTATTGTTGAATACGAAGACTTTGCCAATAAATGGGGCGAACTGGGCCCGGTGTACGGCCACCAATGGCGCAATTTTGAAGGCGTTGATCAAATTTCACAGGTAATTGAAGATATCAAAGCCAAACCTGACAGCCGCAGACTATTGGTAAGCGCCTGGAACCCGAAAGACATTCCGGTTATGGCCAAATCCGGTTTACCGCCTTGCCACACCTTGTTTCAGTTTTACGTTGCCGATGGCAAACTGAGTTGTCAATTATATCAACGCAGTGCAGATGTGTTTTTAGGCGTACCGTTTAATATCGCCTCTTACGCCCTGCTTACTATGATGGTAGCACAAGTCTGCGGACTGGAATGCGGTGATTTTGTACACACTCTTGGCGATGCGCACTTGTACTCCAACCACTTGGAGCAGGCCAAGGAGCAATTGAGTCGCGATATCAGGCCTTTGCCCGAAATGAAAATCAATAAAGCGGTAAAAGATATATTTGCTTTTGCGTACGAAGATTTTGAACTGACGAACTATCACCCCCACCCGCCCATAAAAGCTCCGGTGGCGGTTTAGTAAGTTTTAATGCCATTGACTATGAACGTGACCATGATTGCCGCAATGGCAAACAACCGTGTTTTAGGAAAAGACAACCAGCTTATCTGGCACATGCCGGAAGACCTGAAGCGCTTTAAACGCCTAACCACCGGGCATCATGTAATTATGGGCCGAAAAACCTATGAGAGCATGAACAAGCCTTTGCCCAACCGCACCAACATTATTATTACCCGCCAGGAAGATTACAAAGCGGAAGGAGCCCTTGTGGTAAACTCAATGCAAGCGGCCCTGGATGCGGTTAAAGACGACAATCAACCCTTTATAATTGGCGGTGCCGAAATCTATAAGCTCGGCTTAGACTTTGCCAAGAAAATTGAACTCACCGTGATTCGCCATGAATTTGAGGGCGATACCTTTTTCCCTGAATTTGACAAGAGCGTTTGGAAGCTACTGCGAGGCGAGCAAAAGGATCCAGACGAAAAAAACCCGTATCCCTACGAGTTTTTAACTTATATGAAAATAAATCCGGAAAGCCACAATTAAGCAGCGGCTACACTGCTTTGAGTGCGCTCATAGACATCTTGTCTAATCGCTCGGCCGCATAGGCGGTATCCACTACTAAAGTGTGTTTATTGTCTTCTTCGGCCGTTCCGGGAAGCTCAAACATGGCATCGGTTAAAATGGTTTCGATAATGCTGCGCAATCCGCGTGCACCCAGCTTAAACTCTACCGCTTTTTCAACCACATAATCCAAGGCCTCCTCTTTAAAGTCCAGCTCCACGTTGTCAATTTCCAACAGTTTGGCGTACTGCTTTAAAATTGCATTTTTCGGCTCGGTTAATATTTGCTTGAGCGCTACCGGATCCAATGGATCAAGATGTGCTATAACCGGAATACGTCCGATTAACTCCGGAATTAAACCAAATGACTTTAAATCCTGAGGCGCGATGTATTTAAGCATGTTTTCCGGATCATAGCTTTCCCGGTCTTTGCTGTTGTGGAAACCAACCGAACGCGTATTCAGTCGCTTGGCAATATGCCGATTGATACCATCAAAGGCGCCACCAGCTACAAAGAGTATATTGCTGGTATCCACTTCTATAAATTTCTGATCGGGGTGTTTGCGCCCGCCCTGTGGGGGAACGTTAACCTTAGTCCCTTCCAGCAGTTTTAGCAAGGCCTGCTGCACACCTTCACCGCTAACATCGCGCGTAATACTGGGATTATCGCTTTTGCGGCTAATTTTATCTATCTCGTCAATAAAAATTATTCCGCGCTCAGCGGCCTTTTGATCGTAATTGGCTGCTTGCAACAAGCGGGTAAGAATGCTCTCCACATCTTCACCTACGTAGCCCGCTTCCGTTAATACGGTGGCGTCAACAATGGTAAAGGGCACGTTTAGCATGCGCGCAATGGTGCGGGCCAACAAGGTTTTGCCGGTACCGGTTTCACCTACCAGAACGATGTTTGATTTTTCAATCTCAACCTCATCAGTAGCTTTGGTGCCGGCCGTTAAGCGCTTGTAGTGATTGTAAACCGCCACCGATAATACTTTTTTGGCATCCTCTTGACCAATCACGTATTGATCTAAGAAGGTTTTTATTTCGGTAGGTTTTACCAGGCGAATAGACTTTGAAAGCTCCTTGCGCTCTTTTACGTCCATTTCCTCAACCACAATACCGTGTGCCTGCCGTATGCAATGATCACATATATGACCATTAATACCCGCAATTAGCACGTTGGTATCTTTTTTCTCACGCCCACAAAATGAGCATGTTAAGTTTTCCTTTTTATTACTCATAAAACTTATTCGGGTGCAAAAGTAACGATTACGCCCGGGTAAAGTTGTCCGGGCGCAACCAAATACTCTATTTAACTAATTGACGATTTTAGTCTTTCTTGCTGCGCTGGGTTTCCAGCACCTCGTCAATCATACCGTAATCCTTGGCTTCTACTGAACTCATCCAGTAGTCGCGATCTGAATCTTTCTCAACTTTTTTAAAGTCCTGGCCCGAGTGGTTGGCAATAATGCGGTAAAGCTCTTCTTTCATTTTAAGAACTTCTTTCACGGCAATTTCCATATCACTGGCCTGCCCTTGTGCTCCGCTCATAGGCTGGTGGATCATCACCCGGCTGTGCTTGAGAGCCGAACGTTTGCCATCCGCGCCAGCGCACAATAGCACGGCCCCCATAGAAGCCGCCATACCGGTACAGATAGTAGCTACATCAGGGCTAACCAATTGCATGGTGTCGTAAATGCCCAATCCGGCATACACCGAGCCCCCGGGGCTGTTCAGGTAAATTTGGATATCTTTTTTAGAATCAGACGACTCTAAAAACAGCAACTGAGCCTGCACGATATTGGCTACCTGATCATTAATGCCCGTACCAAGAAATATGATGCGATCCATCATTAAACGTGAAAACACGTCCATTTGCGCCACGTTAAGCTGGCGCTCCTCAATAATATATGGCGTAAGCGATGCGTCAAGGTAGTTGCCAACGTGCATAGAGTTGAGGCCCCTATCCTTAACGGCAAATTTTTCAAATTCTTTTCTATAATCCATTGCGATATTTTAAGAATACGATATTAATAAAAATGGTCTGACAAGTATCAGACCATTTAAAATTGCTATGACAAAGGGGCATTCATTCTATCCTTCAACCTTTTTTCTAAACTCTTCAACGGTTACCTCTTTCTCATCGAGCTTGAGGTTTTCCTTAAAGAAGTTAATCAGTTTTTCGCTGTAAAGCTGATCGGTGATGCGCTGCTCCTCTTCTTTATTCTGAATTACGTTTTTGGCAATGCTCTCGAGATCCAGCTCTTCTGGCATTTGTCCATACTGTGCCATTTGACGAGCCACTAATTGCTTGGTAAAGTCTAACAACTCATCGTTATTCACCTTAATGTTGTGCTCCTTAATCACCTTGTTTTCAATAAGCTGCCAACGCATTTCCTCTTTCATGTCCGGAAACTGCGTCTCGGCCTCTTCTTTGCTTAAGGGCTTTTCACCAGCATTTTGCATCCATTTTTTCAAGAACTCCTCCGGCAGGTCAAACTTCATTTTATCCAGAAGCTTTGACTTGGCATCTACGTAAAACTGTTGGTTGCTATGGGTAACGAACGACTTTTCAGCGTCTTCCTTAATGCGATTTCTAAATTCCTTTTCGTTGCTCACGGCACCTTCGCCAAAAATTTTGTCAAACAACTCCTGGTTCAGCTCAGCCGGTTCCAGTTTGCTGATTTCTGTGAGCTTTAATTTAAAGCGTTGC